GGGCAAGCGTGTGTATCGTCCCCATTTTACAAATGGGGAGACTGAGGCATGGAAAAGTGAGGCAACCCTTCTCAGCATCTCATAGACAGTATCCTATGCCGTCAGGAGTGGAACCCAGGCCTTTGGACTCCAGATCTTGTGCTCCTAATCTTGACGTTATGTTGCCCACAACATTCTATTTCCGGTTGCCAATCCTCTTATCGACGTACATTTCAGTTACTTCTAACTTTGGGCCCCGCAGATACTGGAATTAACTCCCATTGTCTTTGTACAATGCTCCTATTGTACTTACAACTATTTTGCTGAGTTCCTCACTGGATTGAACATTTTCCTCCAGCAGCATGAACATGCTCCTACCCACGCACTTTGCACTTTTTAGTACTTACAAATTTAATGGGAGAAATAGAGCCACTTAATTTAGCAAATAACAATACAGGATGCTCAGTTGAATTTGAATTTCAGATAAATAACAAATAAGTTTTTAGTATAGGTATGTCCCATGTAACACCTGGGACATACTCATACTAAAATAATTATTTGTTGCTTAATTGACATTCAAAATTGAATTCAAATTCCAATTTAACTGGGTGCCCTGTGTTTATCTGGCAACTCTAAGGAGAAAAGAGGCATTTCATTTGAATTTGTCTGGCTACCTTGCAGTAACTGATCATTACAAAGTGTATTTAGGGAGCTGAATGCTGGATACCTTGACTATAAAAAGAATGATATGCAGTCTCTGCCATCAGCCGGCCTACTGTCTGATGTAGTTAAATCTGATGCACCGGGTTCCATGAGGGACGTTTAGCACCAGAGGGGAGGCAGAGGAGATTCCTAAGAGATTCTTAAAGGATGAACAGCGTTTAGAGGTGGTGGAGTATTTCGGGCAGGCGGGAGTGTAGGGTCAAGAGCAGACAGCTAACAAGCAGCGTGGACATCGGCGACCACACAGGTGATGAGGACGTTGCTGCAGCCCAACATGGGAGGCAGGGAGTGGCGAGAAATGAGCTTGCGGATTGATGTGGGAGCCAAGTCATGCACGTGGTTCACTGGATGTGCTCTGTTCCTGAGAAGAACAGGATGTGAAGCGGGTCAGCGACAGGGACCTCCTCTCTCTTGTCCAGATTAGCTGCCACTTGTTTCTGAGTTTCATTTCTGGTGCTGGCCCCTCCATGAACCTTTTCTGACCACCCCCTGATGGCTTGGGGGCTCTCCACAGGGCTGCTCGGGGCCCTGGGCCTGCCGTGTCAAATGTTGACCACGTTGTGTCATCAACACCAGTTCACTGTCTCCCCCTGGGACTTCCTGAGGGCAGGCATCGTGTCTCCGCACCTCCATATCCACAGCCTTCCAAATCCGCTTCGGTCTTCCTGCCGCCCAAAGGTCTGCACAGGGGACGCTGCATCAGTGACGCCCACCTGGGCCACGTCTGCTACTCTGCTAAATCATATTCTGTCTCCAGGTGGTCCCCAATGCCCTGACCCTACTCAGTAGCCTCCCTGGAGGGACTGTCCTCCGTTAACAGTGGCCTGGAGGGGGACTTCCTCTCGCAGATCCCAGCATGTCCCGGGACAACTTCTGCCTCAGGAAGCATCCAGTGAGAGTGACTTCTGTGCGTGACCTCTCCTCAGAGTCCATCCTGCTGCTCACCCTGAGGAGCTCTATTCGGGGTGGGGGGGGTCCTCATGGCCACCAACCTTGACTATTAACCCCTTGTCTTCCTTCAGATGCTCCTCCTCGCATGGGCCATTAGGTTTCAGAGGTAATTTGTTAGACCTCTGAACCGGCTTGATTTTGTGGGGTAGCTGCTGTACACAGCTCATACCCAGGGGCCGCTCTTACTTCCTCATTCTCAGTTTCTGGGGGGGGGTCCTTTCCTGTCACTCCCAGGTGGCAGCTTTATCACAGTCCATCTTCACGTCTGCCTGGCTGCTGACCTTGCTGGGACCTCTTCCCACAGAGTAACTCTGCTCCAGCTTGGCGCCTCCAAACCCAAGCCCATGTTGCCTCCCAGGGGCCCACTGCTCGGTTCCCGGCTCTCGTCCTCGGCGGCTCTGCATCTGCCTTCCTGCCGTGGCCTCGAGTCTCTCCAGGGTCAGGAGTTTCTATGGTTTAGCAACAAGAACTTGAGAGTCTGAAAAACCTGGCTGGCAGTCCCAGCCCAGGCGACTCTCATTTTATTATTTAATTTAACCCGCCCAAGAATCCCATGATGACTGCTACCATCTTTTGTTGACAGACAGTCTGTGGACATAGAAAGGTTAAATAATTTTTTCAGAATTGCCCAGCTAGTGAGTGGGGTACGGGGATTCAAATTCTGGCTTCCATGATCCCAAAGCCACCTCTTGCTGTCACGTCGTCTCCATGCAGGCACGGTGCGCTGGCCCAGGGCCAGGATCTCAGCTTCACGAGCTTCAGCTCCCCCCTCTCTCAGATGGAGTGAATAACAGGCTCATAGGAGCCACCTGTCCAGGTTGTTGTGCGAGTAAAGGGAATTATGTAAATGAGGCACCTGGCCCAGACCAACAGACGCTTCGTTCCGTCCACACTGTGTTCAGTGGGGCAGCTGCAAGGAAATACCAGCTGTGTCAGCCCAGCCCGCCCAGGGAGCTGGTTTCCAGAAGTGAGTGAATGAGGACTCTCATCCAACCATCAGGCCGAAATGGGCATGATCCCCACAGGCACCTGGGGCCTCCTCACGGATCAGGAAGATTTCATCCAGCAGGAGGGCCGGGACCTCCCCGGGGACCTGGGGGCCAGATCTCCACCAGCCTGTGGCAGCCCAGAAAGAGGGGACTGAACGACGTGGGAGAAGGCTCTTGTGGATAAAGCCACTTTTTGGTATTCCTTATCTCCCACCCCATCTGAGCATGCCCACGGCCCTGCTCTGAGTTACGAGGACATAAATCTCCATCACAAATTTATTGCCATCATTTATCAGCTCCTGTTGCTCAATGGCCACGTAGTTAATTTCAAAATGAAGTGGGGCTGTTTTCATTAATACGTTTGCGCTAACTACCTATCAAAACACTCAGAGACAATTAATACCACGTTGCTGAGGTACTGAACCAATAAATATCCCGTCTTGGCTTGTCTCTGGCAGATAAAAGGCATTAGACTCATCCCCTGTTTTACTAATATTCTCTCATTCCCTTCCTCTCCAGAGCATCAGAAACATTTGCATTTCAGAACGAGATGAATTAGCCTGTAGCATGAATTTAAAGGCTGTTGCTTCGTGACGTCTAAGCACTGCCTTCAGGATAAAGTAGCAACACAACGTGCCCGGAAGGAGGACGGAACATTCCCGAGGAGGACGCAACCTCAGGACCAGACCTTACAGCCTCACGGGCTTTCTGGGAGCCAACGCCTGGCCTCTGATGGGGCTGGAGGCCGGGCTGATCAGCACCCTGAACAGAGGGTGGCAGCTGGAGCCCACATTCCTTGCAGGCTCAAAATCTGGATCGACAGAATGTTCTAGATCTCCACGACTCTGGTGTCACATCAGGGATTCCTGGCATGTGGTCATTCGTTATTTACTGAGGCGTGACTCTCCTGTGGAGGCTGCTGTGGGAGGGTGGTTTTCTCTCTTTGGGGGGAGTCTTCCTGCCCTCAGCACCTCATCCCACCATTTCTCCCTCCACCGTTGATTTGTGGGCCTACTGTGTGCTACCTGCCACCCCAGCCCCAGGACACAGCTTGGGCCTCTCGACCTGCAGGGAGCACGTTCATATCCCCTTTATTATTCTCTACGTGCCAGCATCAATAACTCTTAAGAGGTAATAAAAAACCGTGATTTTTGTGGAAAATAGTCCTGGAAAGAAATCCAGGTGGTGCGTTAAAAAATTTTTATTGCTGTTTCCCCATCTTGCTTAAATAATATGTTCACCATGGCAAAAATCAGAAACTATGGGTAAGCAAAAAGAAGATAATTAGCCTCCTCCATCCCATGCCCGAGGTCACCACGGTGTCACCCTTGCCTCCCTGAGGCTCCCTCTTCCCATTCGCCCACTGGCCCCTCCTTAGAGCAGCGGCACTCTGGTCGCTCTTCCTGTAGCTGTGTGGCCTCGTGTCCGCGCGGGGCTGGGCCGCCCGTCACGCTGTTGCTGGAAGCTCGTCGCCACTGTCACTATGGACACGCACGGAAGTCTTTAAGGACAGTGTCGCTTCTCCCACCAGCGCACAGACCCTCCCAGGCCCTGCCGGCGGGGGCACGAGCACACACACGGTTCCTTTAACCAGACCTCCTGTGGGCACAGAGGCCGTCTGCCTCTTTTATTACAAGCAACACCGTGGTTCTGTTCGTCTAGTCGTTCTTATTACGAGATCCCGGTGCACACTCCGAATTCCGTCTTTGGAATAAATTCATTGAAGTGGAATTCCTAGGTCAATTCTTGTGCCCATTTTTTAACGTTTTGACACATGTGGCCACACCGCCCTCACAAGGGTTCCAGTTTATGCTCACAGATGCTCTTCCTCTGTCAGGTGAAGACTCGCCGGCTTCTCACCATCCAGTTTCGGAGACGCAGCCGGCACCTGCTCCCCCGCTCCCTGCTCCTGCTGCGCGGGGCTCTGCACCCCCTCCGGCCTAAGCGCCTTTCCTCTGTCCGCTGTCCTCGTCTCTCCTGAGCTCTTCCCACCACATTGAAAATGTCGTCTCGTGCATATTAAAAGAAAACAGTTTCCTTGGCCTCTGTTAGGGGCTGAACTCCTTCCTCTTAAGGAGAGGAAACTTGGGGCGCAGGAGGTGCGCGCGGAGCGAGGCGAGGACACAGCAGCAGGGCCGCCGGCAGGACCGGGAGAGGACGCACGCGGTTCAAGCGGCGGGTCGGTGGGGCTTCGGAGAGGCCGCAGAGGAGCCAGTCCGACCCCGGACAGACCCCCTCGCGCAGCCGGGCCCCCCAGACAAGGCGGCTCGTGCGCCCGTCCGCGCCGCCCCCGCCGCACCTGAGCCGCCTCCGCCAGGTGCGCACCTGCGCCTGCGCCTGCGCGGTGGCGCAGAACCCGCGGGCGGGGCGGCCGTCGCGCTCGCTCCTCCGAGGAAGGGGCGCCAGCTGAGTGTACCCGAGCGGGTGCAGGGTGTTTCTTTACGAGACGTGTACGTGTTGGCGTTTTTTCAAGCTCTCCTAGGAGCGACACACACGTCACAGGCTGTTTGGAAGACACGTGCGGTATCTGGTAAATTTCCTGCGGGTCTTTGGTTGTTTTTCTCTGCAGAGGTTGTTTGCTTGCTGTAGTCTGCAACGCATCGTCTGTCCGATTACTTTGTGTCCATCTTCCTTCCTCTTTAGGTGACATTATAACCGTGCCTCCTTGCGCTATGCTCAGGTTATTTCAAAGGAGTAGGTAGCTCACTGATGGCCTGAGTCTCCTTTCAGTTTAAAAAAAAGTCAAATGTAGGGCAATTTCTAGGGGTGCCTTGGCCTCCATGAGGATTCAAAGCAAGGAGGTCAAGGAGCCAGCCCGGATGACCTAGTGGTTAAAGTTTGGCTTGCTCTGCTCCTATGGCCTGGGTTTGGTTCTCAGGTGTGGAACCACAACCCCTGTCTGTCAGTAGCCATGCCGTGGTGGCGGCTCACACACAACTGGAAGGACCTACAAGTAGAATATATGACTATGTACTGGGGCTTTGGAGGGGAAAAAGGAAAAAAATGGAGGAAGATTGGCAACAGATGTTAGCTTAGGGCGAATCTTCCCCTGCCAAAATAAAAAAAGGCAAGGAAGTCAAGAAGCGACCTCCTGACTATGAGCCTGGTGCCCTCCCCCCCCCCCCCCCCCGCAAGATGTCTAGGTGTGCCACTGAGGGCTCCTCGGAGGTGGCAACAATGCCAAATGCCACTCAGAAAGAAGGTGAGTCAGGCCACAGCTATTTAGCAAGCCCTGACTTGGGCAATGGCTTTGTTGCCCACTTTTAAAGGGACAACCTGGGCTTGGCCAACAGCCTTCTCAGTGGACGTGAGTCAGATGTCCCAAAGAGCAGGGGACACTTTCTTGTGTTTTCCAGACTGAGCAAGCTGGGTCCTTAGACAGTGGGGAGAGGAAGTGAGGGTCCTAATCTTTCCCCTATGCAGAGGCTGGCTCAGGTGCACCATCGCTGCTCCCTTTCTCTGAGTCCTTAAAGTCCAGCTGTCACCCTGTATATGGCCTCTTCTGCTCTGTGACATCCTCCTGTTTTACAAATGGGAAGAGCTGAGGTTCACAGGTGAATGGTGAAGATGAAGCAGCAGGTGACAGGGTCAGAGGAGAAGCTCAAACCCAGCATTGATGCATCGCCTCTCAGCTCCAGACTAGAACCTAAGTCCAGACCCTGTGTATTTTCCCACCCAGGAGACCACGTGGCTCAGGTCACTCAAGGGGACAGAGCCACAGAGTGTGACTCCCTGATGTCCCCTCGCAGTGCCATTGGCAAACACCCGGCTCTCTCTGCTGTGGCTGAGGATTTGCCAGACTTAACTTCTAAGGAGCTCGTGGAGGATGAGGACTCCGCCCGCCCTAGTGGGTCTGTGTGTCCTCAGAGTCATGTTCCCCACTCAGCCCCCTGCAGACCCCACGCTTCCGGTAAACGGTGCTCGGGATGAACAGTGTCCCTATGATGACCCCCCACTCTTAAAGGACAAGAATTGTGTCAAAAATTGAGCACACTCAAGTGCTGCTGGAATTATTCGGGTCTCTTCTTCGGTAGTTTTGAAAGAACGTACAGGCTCCGAGTCCTAATTATGAGCACCTTTGGGGCATAAATATTCAATAATATTAGTTACTTCTCTTTCTCTGAATGGCCTTCGCTCAGCTTTCAGGGCTCAGGGGTGAACCCCGAGGGTTGACGCCCACTAGCTGGGTGATTTCATCTTTCTGGGTCTTATAGTTTCCTCACGTATTAAATGGGAGTAATAGCACCTACCTTGCTGGGTTACTGAAAGGATTAAGTGATTAAATGGGATGATCCAATGACGCACGCCGGGCACCCATCTCCTGCTGACTCCTGGGGTTCGTGGCTGGAGTCTGCTTGACACAGGGGTGCCTAAGGGCCAGTGTCAGTCATTCACACATTCGTGGGGATGAGGCAAAGGTCCCGTGTAAATACGTTTACCAATCCAGGAATGGGAACAAACAAAGCGTATCGGGCTGGAGAAAAGTTTAAAGATCTAAGTAAATGGTTTAAAATAAATTATCGGGATTTGTTTTTCTTTTTTGGTGCATCAGGGTTTGGGAGAGAAACTTTTGAAATTCAGTAAAATTTATTGTAAGACAACGGCCGGTGGGCTTTGAGGTTTATGGGGTCCTGGGGTGTACCACTGTGCTGGCTCCTGGCTGTCGGGCGAGCCCTGTGAGAGCCAGAGGCTGGGTGATGGAGGTGGCAGGCAGAGGCCGGAGCCAGGGTGGATTCTGGTTACAGGACAGTTGCCCTCCTCAGGGCCGGTGACCACCAGCAGACCAGCACCCTCCCGAATTCAGGGTCAGGACAACAGGCAGAGGGTAAACGGCCAAGAAGATGAGTAAATCAAAGGGGAGGAAGGAGCCCATGGGGCTCCTGTCAGGAACGCCGTCAGCTGTCTTTCAGCCGAGGGTTGGGCTCCTTTAGGATTTACTCTTGTGAAAGTTCCTCACAGCTACTGTTTCCTGAAAGGTTCAAGGGGACGAGCTGGGACCAGCTTGGCAGGGGAGCTGCCCTCCTTCACCTGCACTTCGGAGCTGGAGAAGGAAAGATGATTTAATGCCTGTTTTCAGGAATGAAGGGGTTTCTGCCCAGCTCTGCAAGGCCGCAGACAAGCAGACGGCTCCTCCCATGGCAGGAGGGTTGTGTTGGATGGAGGGAGGTTTCTCAGGCAGGGAGCGCGGAGCCTGGGACGAGTTATGGTGTCTCCTCACCTGGACATCCTCAGAGTAAGGCATACCCCCTCTGACAGGAGCAGGGTGGGTGCTGGAGATGGGGGCTGCCAGCTGGAGGCATGAAACTGCCCTCAGTGACCTTTGAAGGTTGAGTCCAGCCTTCTGAGTCGAGGATAAACCAAGATGGGAAAATTTATGGTTTGGGGGCCGGGCCGGTGGCACAGCGGTTAAGTTCACACATTCTGCTTCTCAGCGGCCTGGGGGTTCGCCGGTTCGGATCCCAGGTGTGGACATGGCACCACTTGGCACGCCATGCTGCGGTAGGCGTCCCATATATAAAGTAGAGGAAGATGGGCACGGATGTGAGCTCAGGGCCAGTCTTCCTCAGCAAAAAGAGGAGGATTGGCAGCAGTTAGCTCAGGGCTAATCTTCCTCAAAAAAAAATATTTATGGTTTTGACATCCATCATGTCACTAAATCAGAGTTGCTGCTAGAGTTTGAGGAGAAAGAAGATTCTGGAGCCTGCTCTGGCTTGATCACTCCCTCAGTCAGGTTTCCAAAAGGAAGCAGAGAAATCATAAAGCACAGAGTAGCACCCCACAGCGCTCCCCACCCTGTGCATGGAGGGACTGGGGGAGGGAGCAGCGATCAGAACCTGCAAGGAGAAGTGAGCGTATGGGAGCCATCTGGAGAGGATCTGTGACCTGGCCAGGAATGCCACCAGCCAGTGGGGACTGGGGAGAGAGCCAGGAGGAGAGGTACCCGACACCATCATCCTCCCTCCGCCACCTTCTGTCACACTGCTGACTGGCTCATCCCAGCTGAAAGCCTGAGGTCCAGGAAGCCCCCTGATGGTCTACACAGCAGGTAGATGGTCTACACAGATGCTCCAGAGAGCAGTCTGGAGAAGGGTGGGGAGCAGATCTAGAGGGACAGACAAAAGCCGCCTGACACAACCATCACTTGTCTCTTGTATGTGCTGAGCTCTGTTCTGGGCACTGGGAAGAGGGCAGTGAACCAGACTTACATTTGGGATGAGCTGTGACTTAGAAATGTCCTCCACCCCTTACCCCTGAATGTTTCCACACACACATAGTTATTAGTATAGGAAAAGTTACTGAGAGCCAGCCCTGAGGGCCTAGCAGTTAAAATTCAGCGCTCTCACCCCTTCAGTGGCCTGGGTTCGCATCCTGGTTGCAGAACCACACCACTCGTCTGTCAGTAGCCATGCTGTGGCGGAGTCCCACACAGAAGAACTAGAAGGACTCCCAACTAGGATATACAACTATGTACTAGGGCTTTGGGGAGGAAGAAAAAAGAAGAGGAAGATTGGCAACAGATGTTAGCTCAGGGCTAATCTTTCGCTGCAAAAAAAAGAAAAAAAGCAAAGTTACTGAAACTCTCTGTGCCCCAATTTCCTCACCCATCAAGTGGGACTAACGACTGCACCTCCTTCGTGGGGCTGGATTACTTGTGCACATGCGTGTAAAGCTCTTAGAACAATGTGTGTGTGAAGTGAGGGCTCAGCACACGCTGGCTGTCATTACTAGTGTGACCACTGTTGATATGTGTGTCTTCTAACGAGTCTCCTGGACACCCCCCTCATCCCTGAAGACCTAGATGGCTTGTCTCCTTGCCCGGGGCTCCCCTCCCCCGGGAAGAGTTGGTCCATGGATTCCCTGGTACGTGAGGCCTTCCTGGTTCTTGTAAGGCTGTGGTGCAGTTACCGGGTTTGCGTGTCTGTTTCCCATGCTAGACTCCACTCTTCGGGCGTGATCTCAGATTCTTCTTCCCCAGCCCCAAGTTCTGGCGCATGGGAGGTTTCAATAATGTTGGTTGAGTTTGTTTTGAACGAGTTTACATAATGAATTTTTGTAGTTTCATGGGAAGGAGCATGGCCCAGAATGCATGGTGGTGGAAGTGGACGGAGCAAATGAGCTGGATGAAGGGGTCCTGTGGCCTCAGGAATCCACCCCACTGCTCCATGGAGCCTGAGCAGAGCGCTTCTCCCTGCCTGGGACTGCCTGCTGCCTCCAGGGCACACATTCACACGGGAGGAGGGTGCTCACTGAACTGAACGGGGCAGAGGAAAGATAGACTTCCACCTCAGTTTTCCACCAGTGTTATTTATCTTGTTCCCCTGTAAGGTGGAAGCCGGCTTTCTCTTCTTTGGTCGGCAGTAGGTGGCAGAGGAGGACAGAGTTGTGGCAGGCAGGTAGACTCCCTCAGCCTCCACTCTACCTGTGGGGGTGTCTAGGGATGGAGCAGGGGAGAACAGCTCCTGGAGCTCCTTCCACTTGGGCCCAGTTATTTTGCCCACAGCTTCCAGAGTCAGGGCACAAACCCAGATGAGCTCCTTGATCCACTCCATAACTGTGCGAGGCAGCCTTGGGATCATGTCCCATGGGGTCAACTTCCAAGGTCAGGAACAGGCTTCCTGTTGGTAGAACGTGTTTAACTATGCCACAGGGATGCCATCCATGAAACTGAGACTCTGAAGAACTCTTCAGGATAAATGATCGAGTTTCTTCAACAAGTAATTGCAAGGAAAATAAAAGAGAAGGAGGGGTCCCCATAGATTTACAAACTTAAGATACATACAAACCACTTAGTGTATGCACCTCATTTGGTTCCTTATTTGGACAAACTGTTCAAAAAATCATAAGACGGTTGGGAGTATTTGAACACTGGTTATCTGATGATACTAAGGAATTATTGTGAATATCTTGGGGTGTGATTTTGGATGCATTTTATAAAAGAGTCTTTGCCTTTTAAGGATGTATTCTGAAATATTTATGGGTGAAATCTCTGATACCTGAGACTTGCTTCAAAATAATCTGGGGGCGCTCAAGAAGTGGATGGAGTGTAGACAGGTTGGAGATAATTCTAAGTGGTGGAATGGGAGCTCATTAGCCAACTCTATTTCATACATACATGGTATTTTTCCATAACAGAAAGCACTTTAAATGTGATAGTAGAAATAAATGTACTTGTTGTTTACCAGTACTCCCGGTAGTGAACTTGAAACCCAAACAATGTGCCAGTTGGAGGGCGGATGCAGAATGGACTTGTGTGTTTCAGAGATGAACAGAAGCGGGTTCATGCCTTGTGGGTCTGTGGAGCGCTGGCTCTCCTGCAGGCCAGTGGGGCCTGTACCATGCGGCCTTTTGTGCTCTTTACCCAAGAGCAGAACGTGCAGGATGGAGGGGTGACTAGCACCCTTCTCCCGGGCTGCTTTCCCTGCCTGACGAGATGGACTTCTCCACAGTTGACACTGTGCAGGGAAACACAGCCTGGGGGCCCACTAGCTGGTTCTATTCAGTCGAGCCTAGAGCCGGATGCTCAGGATGGTGGCCCAGCACCTTCTCATCCGTATCCATTGAAATTTGGGCCTCTCTCTCAAGGGAGCGAGGGATTACTGCATCCCCTTTCCAGGCGAGGAAGCTGAGACTCAGAGAGGTGCGATGTCTTCTGTGATGTCATACGGCTCACACCCAGGCCCTTTCAAGCCTTGGCTTCTTTCCACTGTGCAGTGTTGCCCTCCCAGGTGTCAGCGTTCCTCCCCTTAGGGACACACCAGTCCAGGGTTGCAAATAATGCTCGTTGTTATGTGGGTGAGACTGTGCTGGGTGTTCTACACCCATTAATTCAACCCTCTTAATGATCTCATAAGGTAAGTACTATCCTTTCTTGTTGTTGTGGAGGAAGATTGGCCCTGAGCTAACATCCTTGCCAGTCTTTCTCTATTTTGTATGTGGGTCGCTGCCACAGTGTGGCTGATGAGTGCTGTAGGTCCGTGCCTGGGAACCGGACCTGGCCCTCTGAAGTGGAGTCTACTGAACTACCACTAGGTAGTTCACGGGGCTAGCCCCAGGTAAGTACTTCTCTTATTCCCATTTTACAGATGGGGAAACTGAGGCCCCTAATGTCACAGAACTAATAAAATGAGAAATCGAGATTTCAGCCCAAATGTGTCTGGCCTCAAGCCTTCGACTGTATCTCTTATGCTACTTCTCCCGAGGTTGAGGCAGATGGTGGATGGAGGTTCTCTCAGAATTCACCTAAACGGAGGCCTGGCAAGGACCGGGGAGGGCTCGGGCCTTCAGGACACTGAGGGAATGCTTGACCGCTGCATTTTGGAAACATTCACTCATTTTTTTAGTTTCAGCATCCACATCGCGTGTACAATGTTCCAGGCCACCGCTCACCACTTTACAAACGTCAACTCACACATGGTCGCAACAGCCCTGGGAAGGGGTAAGTGCTGTGAGTTTTATTTCCATCTTACCAATGGGGAAACTGAGGCACTTGCCAACACCTCAGAGCTAGGAAAACACAGAGCCGGGAATCAACCCAGGCAGTCTTGTCACTGAGTGGCCTTCGATCTCCACGTGGTTCCCCCGCCCTGGCCCTGCACCAGCCCCTGACCTGTCCCGGAGCACGACAGTAAAGGAGCGAGGCTGACAGGCTTCAGTCCTGATCTCTGACTCCATGTAAGGACCACAGCGCCTGCTGTTGGGGTAATAACGCAAGGTGGTACCCGGTTCTGTTTAACCCAAGCTCCACGGCACCTGGGTGTGGAATTGCTCTGTTTGCTTGAATCAGAAATGTGTTTTGAAGACTATACCTTTTTAGAGCTGCCATAATGAGAGGAAATATTAAATTTAATGGGATAAATCACCTATAGGACTTGGCACGTAACAGAGCGTAACACGCAGCGGCCATTAACGTCCTTTTCAGCCTCCGGTGTGTGCCACCTCTTCCTCTAGTCACGCCTGCGGCCCAGGGCACGTCCTCCCCGTGCCTGCGGGACGCTCTCCACCGCCGTCTCCACACTTCACAGCTTTCCTCCTCCCCCGCCCGGCCTGTGACCATGCTCTCCAGCCTCCCCGAGGGCGGACTACCTGCCTGGTCCTGCTGATGGGAGCACGGCCATGTGAGGTGCTCCGGCCAGTGACACGTGAACGGAAGTGGTGCTGTCAGCACAGACGGACCTGTAAGAAGCCCGTGCGCGGCTGTCTCGCGCCTTCCCCCATGCTAACACATCCCCCAGGGGTCCAGGCGGAGCTGCCTCTCACCCGGGAGACTGTAGAGAGACCCCAGGCGAGCGCTGGCAGATTTGCAGAGGATGTGAAGCCGCTGAGACTCTGGACTTGTTTGTGTCACGGCATAGGGCCGATGCTCTAGGGGGTAGGACAGAAGTCCCTAAGGCGCCTGCAGGCCCTGCAATGTCTTGACCTGAAGGTCAAGATGTCTTGTGCCCTTTCCTCTCCTTTCCTCCTCTGCATCCAGACAGGCCCCCTGCAGTGCCCCCAGGTGCCACGCTCCCTCCCCAGAGGGTCCTCGACGTGCTGTTGCCTGCCGGTCCTCCAGTCTCATGGGCATTCGTGGCGATGCCGGTCCCGACAGCCACGGGCTGCCTCCCTGCTGGGGTCACTCGGCTGATGCTAGTTTTGCCCTTGACTGCACATGTCACGAGAACGGTCACCTAGACTTTACTCGCTCCCCACCCCAGCCCCTGGCAGAGTCTCTGGCACCTAACAGGCACTCAAAAATATTTACTGAGTAAATGACTAATAGAGTCAATATATAGTCATGATTACAGGATGGAAGTTAGAGCCAGATGCCTTGGATTCGAATCCTCCCCTGCCGCTGATTCGCTGTATGATCTGGTATAAATAACCGAAGTTCTCTCTGCCTCAGTTTCCTCATCTGTAAATGGGGATAAAACAGCAGCCATCTCATAGGGTGGCTGTGAGGATTAGGCAGACTCAGACATGTGTGCTGTTTATTCACTCACTGTCTCTGTCTCCAAACCCCCTCCACACTGTTCTGTGGGGCTGGTGGTTTTCTCCCTACATTTTCCAGACTCCGCGGTGCTGGGGGCTCCCGTTAGAGACACTGAAAGGAGCTGAGGAGGAGGAGGGAAGGGGCAGAAGGGACTCCTCCAGCTTCAGTTCCTGTCCACAGTGGTGGCAGGCGCAGAGGACGCCAGATGCTCCTCTCGGCTCCTCACCTCCTCAGCAGCACTAATGCTGTTGGCTGGGTCGCTCTCGGTGGTCCTGGTGCCAGCCGCCCCACGTCCTCTCAGAGGGCTGAGTACCAGCCATGTGGTGCCCCCAGCCTCATGGGGATCTCAGGGAAGATCCAAGCATCAGCTGTGTGGGATGCCCCTCGGAGCTCCTAGGTCCTGGAAACCCACCTGCGCCCTTTTCCCAGCTCCATGGTGGCCGGACTGTGGTTGTGCATATCTAGGCTGCTTCAGGGCCCCTGGTAGACAAGCGATCGGACCCTATTCCAGATTCCTGATTGGGCCCTAATGATTACACCATCTAAAGCGCTCAGAACACCACCAGGCATGCAGTAAGCACTGCGTGAGTCCTGAGTCCTGTATTCGTCTAAGGAGGTGAAAAAGCCAACACTGCCCACTGGAACTCCTTGAAGGGTGCCATGTGCCCGACGTCTGTCAAGGCGAGCGCACACCCTGGTGCCGAATCCCCGGCCCACACCCGTCACTGTCACTCGGATGCAACACCCAGGCGTGGTGTAAGCGAATGATGACGACAGCTTCCGTAGCATTAGCAATTTTTATTTTTCCTCTTTGTTGCATAGGAAATGCAGTACTTGCTTCCAGTAATCGTATTGTAATGTGAGAAGGTGGTAGCACTAACGGCTGAATACAAGAGTTAAACTAACCCACACCAGCTCAACAACCTGTGGAGGTTTAGTTGAATAAGAATGGACGCCCACAGTGATTCTCAACCCATTACAAATTTTCACAGAACACAGTAAAACGGAAAGGTAACTATGAGAGTCAATACAAGTATACTAGAGGCACAGGGGGCCCGGCTCATAAAAACACACGTCAAACCGAGTTATTAACACGGGGGTGTTCAGTTTCACAACAGATCTCTTATCACTGCTGGGAGCGCTCAATGCCCTCCCCCCAATTTGGAATGAAAACCCGAGGCGTCTGGAGTGGACAGGCTTCCACGGGTGGTGGGGAAAGTCCCCGGTGAACTCTGTTCTGGGGAAGGGGTCAGGGCGGCAGGGACAGGCTCGAGGGTCTGCCGTGAAGTCTTCCTGGGGCCTCCCAGGCTGGGGAAGCTCCGGGCTTCTCTGCGAAGCTGCGGAGGCTGCTGGGAGACCAGGCAGAAGGGTGGGGCTGGCAGCGCTTGCAAACCTCACCTCAACGCTGCCAGTGGCCTTGTGACCTTTGGTTGAGATGTTAAAAAAAAAAAGTGCTAATTTATAGACTATTATGAAAAATATAATAAAAATTAAAAAAGAGGAATACACAAATAGAATCAAAGGGGAAAAAAGCTTGTGTCATCTTGAGAAGTCGAACACAAAACAGCAGGAGAAACAGCTCCATTCGTTGGCCGCCATTTGTCCCTAAACCACGAAGGTGCTCTGCTGGCATTACAGGTGGCACTTGGACCACAAGCTCCTGTGGTCCAGACGCAGTCTGGAAATGTGCTTCCTGAATGAAGCAGCACAAGGTGTGCCCCTGTGAGCACCGTCACGCCTGGCCCCCAGGCGCGGCCCTGCCCCACAGGCGGCTGACCCCCGGTTACAGAGCCTCCTTATCTTTCTGAGCATTTCCGGATCCATTCCCCATTCCCCCTGTCCTCTAATCTGGCTACATAACCCTTTGGGGCATAAAGGCAGATGGCAGCTGGCTTAGGGGAAAAAATGAGAGGAAATTTATTTAATTTGGGAACCAAGTAGTTTCAAATTTAGACTCCAAAACGTGTATTAAAAAAAATCCCGTGTTAATAGCAAACTTCTTTTTCTTATGAATCGGGCCCAAAGTTTGTACAGAGTTTTATTTTCCACGAAAATACTGCAACTGTGCATGAAACTAAATAGCCATGTGATTTTTTAAAGATTATTTTTTTCATATTTTTCTCTTTTACTATGAGGAAGTCTGGTGTGAAGACGGATCAAGCATGGGTACCTGGCTGCACATGTCCACTAAGAAAATGCGTCAGGATCAGCACAGCCTCAGTTGAGGGCCGAGGAAATCCCCCTTCACTTGGAAATGTCCTCTAGTATCTTCTAGCGGAGTTCTTGAGAATCCAATGGCCATTCTGAGAGAAAAGTCTTGCCAGGGACTGATTTCTGAAATCAAACACCCATGCTTGTCCCCTAGGAAAAAGAAAACAAAAAAAAACAAAAACGAAAACAAAAACACAAGTAATACTGAGTTTAAGTAAATGTATACCTCCAAAATACTGAAAACAGCCGAAATCCAGAAAAGACAGAATTTGCGTTCTCAGTGAAATACCTTTAAACCTAGCTGATGAGAACCAAGGCAGAAAAAGGACTAACATAATCTGCGTAATATTTATACGGGCCACTAAGCACTATGGGACAGCATGCATTAATATTGAATGGGCATCCTACATCACCTACTGCCGGAAGGTCCTGACTGACAGACAGCGAAGGCTACCGGTGTAGAAAATCTTATGTCAGAAGAGCTATATAATACAGATTTCACAGGCACTACATTTTAATATATCAGGTATTATGCTGGTTTTCTTATAATTCTTTCTGTCCTAAAGCTGGCATTATAACAATGACCAAAAAGGCAAGGATTGAAGTAAACGGAAAGTCGATACCAAAGTTGATATAGTTTTCTTCCGATCGGTTAGTGCATAGTTCTCATGCAGATAAACACTGCTATGCGTTTACACTGTTGGGAAGCAGAGTGAATTGAGCCCAAGTTGTCACGTTGTGTAAATCATTTTGTCAGCCTGTAATAGCACCATGTAATGGATTTGCATTAAACATTAAATTGATCTCAGAACTGGTGACACAGTACTCACTACAGTTAACTGCTATGGAATAGCTTCAATGTTACCTGCTATATGTCAAAGCAATTTTCATCCCACTGCTTTTTTATTGGGAAAAATAAAAGGAAAACACACACGACACTACTAGACGAATGCACAGCCTTGGACGTGGAGGAGGCAGAGCGGGCCAGTCAGACAGTAAATATGTGCATTGACCTCAGGGCGAAACGCGCCTGGGAAGCAGGTTTGTAGGGAAGCTCTGCGGGGCAGCGCAGCGTCCCTCGACTGTCCGGGACAGATCTCGAGGGGTGGGGGGTGCCCCTGAAGCTCTCCTTACAGCACCATGCCATGTGTGTTTTAAATTTGTTCTATGGAGGCCTGCTACAGGGAAAAAAGAAAAAAAGGAGAGAGAAAGAGACCAACACCACTACGGACAAAAAGATGTTTCCCGAGACTTGATGCAAAGTACGCTAAATGACATTCTGAGGAACCCTCCCCCAAAAAATACAAAGAAAAAATGTTTTTCTTAATCCAGATTTCATAGCTACTTCATGACATGGTAGCTGCAGAACTCAGAGCACATGGGGTCAGGGTTTGAAAAGCGAAGGACCAACTTCCTGAGATGGTTTGCACATTCCTGGGGGCTGACTGAACACCATGGCCCTGGAGAGTCTGGCTCCTTCACACGCCCACCGCCTGAGGAGGAGGGCTCGCTCTGGGAGTGCACCTTGCCTGACTGCGGGCGGCCGGGTGGGTGGGGAGGGGAGGAGCTGACTCTAAGTGACTGCCATGCCAGGGCGTGAAGGAACAGAAAAGTCAGCTCAAACCTCAAAGGAAAGAAAAAGCCTCTGGGATGGACAGGGCGGCACTGGGGAGCGGGCCTCTGCCCCCGAGTGACCAGCAAAGAGCATGTTAGTGGCAGGGGGATGGGCCAGAAAAAAGCATATTAAAAAAATACGGTTTAGTGTTTGTGCCTCTGACTTCAGTTCCCAAAGAAAAAACAGAGAGAGTTATTTGACGGACTTCTCTTTGCCAATATTGTTAATGCCATTTGATGGGAGAGAAAAACTCCAATGTGTGTCGGAACCACACGCCGAGAGCCCTCGGTCTTTCAGTCTACACACCCCAGGTAGCTGGTCTTCCTCGCACGTCTCTGCCTGGCTTTTAATCTAAACAGGTAGACACTCGCATGGTTGGGGTTTCTTTTTTCCTGCTTGATCACACCTGAACTACAGTTTCCTGCTGCTTTCTGGACAATGAAACATGAACAAAAATGTAACTTAGTGTATTTAATACTTAACCCCTGTTCATTATCGCCCTGGACTGCCTCCCTAATGTTTTAAAGCCTTTAAAACATTTTTTTCCTGCAACTCTGTTCAGAGTTCCCTAATTTTAGCTTCATCAAACTTAATACAACAAAATACCTTCAAAAATACAGCATACTTGTAACATCCATTTACAATGGTTTTTCAGTAGACCTATACTTCTCAAGCATAGGAATATGCTATACCATTGAGAGAAAAACTGTATTTAAATACTTACAAAAAAAAAGGAAACAGGAAAGTTTTAAACTTAAATCCAGTTCCCAAAGGTCGGGCGGGGGGGGGATGGGAAAGAAAGAAAGCAATTCTATGAATGCTGCCTTTGTAAGAACAATCAGAAATTTCACTAGGCTAATTTGACAGAAATTTTCTTCATTTAAACAACATACAAAAATCCTGCATTATAAAATCGGGTAGGATAAATCAGCATAATCAATAAAACTATACAACATACAAATCACATGTCTTCTGAGTCGGCAGTTTATTCTCTCTCTTTGCAGTCATAACTACAACATGCTCACTAAAAACAACTAAAACTGCCCAAACTATTGCTTAGTTTGTTTTGTTTTAAAAAAGGGTGCGATTTTATTGTATATACAACCAATTTACTGGTCATGCCTTGGCTTACTGCAAGGCCCTGACAAAATGTCTGTCTAGGCTTTTTCCCTTCACTGTGAAGCACTGAAAGCTGCTATTTTTTTTTTTTTCTTTTTTTAGTGCACATATGTCATAATAAAGTAATGCCCAGCTAAGAGCTATGGGGGAAGGCAAAGGATGCTGGCTGGCTATAGGAAGTGACACCATATACTGACAATCACACCGTACAACAGCGCCAACGACTACTCAACCACTTATCAGACACGTATGAAAATCCAAAATGTTTTATTTTATTTTTTTTTCCTTAAATAGAGATAACCAGTAAACAATTTTCAGAACTTGGAAGTTTAAAAACGTGCATATAAAAATGGGCATTATATACTTTCATTGAATGTGGATTGACTGCAGTCTGCTAAGAAAAATGGGGTGTGGGAGCTGAAGAAAAAGGAAGTTGTCTTTTTTTTTTTAAGGCTTGCTTGTGAAAGGAACAGTTGTAAAAACAAAATTGCTTGAAGCAGGGTCAGCTCAGTGCTTCACAGTTTGACTGCTTCTCTAAGAGGAGCCCTTCCTGCACACGTGCATTCAAAAATCACAAAAAAAAGTACAAAGACAAACATCTAAAACACACTGCGTCAAGTGCAGCACTGACTTTGGTCAAATAAAAAAAATAAAAGAAAAATTAATAATCGCTAAGCTTTTCTACACGATATAAGCAGGTATTGCATATTTTCATATATCTGGGGGGAAAATAAAGGAAGACTCCAAATAAATTGTAAAATGCAGCAACATCCAAAATACTGATATTCTAAGCATCTACAGATCTCAGAATAGCACTGCCACTGACCACGAGGACAATAAAGACTACGCCTATCTGCGGAACGACTAACCCTACTCAGTGCTAGGTGTGGAAACTGACGATGGCCGACGTAAAGTCACATTTACAAAAAGTGTCTCCAAATGCTTGACGAGGGAAAACCCCTTTCAATAGAGGAGCGTGTGCAACAATTCCACAAATAATCGCTATCCAGGGCAAGGCACATTGATATGGAATTTTTGTTTTCGTGCAAATTAAGGAAAAAAAACAAAACAAAACAACATCGTTTCGGGGGAAAGATGAGGAGCAAAGTGTCTTCCCAAGAATTTCAGTTACTTGATTGTATAGGACAGCAGTAGAACCCTTCTGAAGGGCTGGAAACATAGTTTAAAGGCAAGTGCCTAAGGAGGGATTACAATATTGTGTCTTAATGCACTCTACTTTATCCTACATTAACTATATAAAAATTAGCGACTAACACTAGAACATGCAGAGCCTCTCCCTGGCGGGCTGCCGCCAGGACGCGTATCTACGTACAGCACAGGAACCTTCTTGACGGTGCCCGGGAAGCAAGGCGCGCTTCGCTGTCTGGTAGAAAAATCACTTGCACTTTTTTTGTTTTTTTTTTTTGTTTGTTTTTTGTGTTTTTTTACATAAGATACAGGACATTTGGGGGTGCAAACTTTTTTTTCCCTAACAAGTACCCTGATCTGAATGGGTACCAGCATTTGTGTCAGTATTGGTTTCATTTTTGTTATTATTTTTTTCCCATAGCCCAGTTCAGGGGCGCAAAGGTCTTTAAAATTTCTGGACAATCTCTGGTACAATGAAGTGTCTGATAACTGATAAATCCTATGTTGCCGAATACATGTAAATATTCTCAGAATTGGCATTATCCATTATAGTGACTTCTAGCTTATAAAATTAACAGATACCATGATTTCATTTTAGTTATGTGCTTTGATAACAGAAAATAATTAATTAGCATTTAATGTAGTTAACATATTGTGGTAAAAGCACCATTAGATTTGTTTTTTTGTTTTTTTTTAAATTTTCCTTCAGTTTTTAAAGGGATACAAGTTTAACAATAAAAAACATAAAAAGCAAAAATAGCTCCCCTTTTTCTTGCAAGGCTGTTTTTTACCCCAATAATTTAGAGTCCTGGGGTGGAAGGACTTGAAAAACAAAAATAGAATTTTCAACAATCTCTATCTTACAAAGATATTTAGCTATCCAATGAAATTGCACTTTACTCAATTCAAAATTCGATTGTTTTGATTGATTCCTGTCAGTTTCTGTCAAAACAGACCATCTTCCCCATTTCCATGTGAATTTGTGTGTCATTGTTGAAAATTGTTGAAAAAAATGGTTTTTTAGATGTAAGTGCAGCATTTCAAAACTTTTAAAAAACTGAATAGTAGTAGTAGTAGTTTGCCATTTCGGATTTGTTCTGCGACGTGAGTGGTTCACTGTCCTTGCGGGCCGTGTTACATGTTTAAGTGCTGAACCAAACCCAACTAAAGGAAAACAAGAAAGGAACATAACTGCATTTTCTTTTTCCAATATGTTACAGAAAAACATTGCCCTTTGACTGTCCCGTAAGTTATATATTGCAGATCTCAGCTACTACAAAAGATTTAGTTCTCTGTGTGCCTCCTGACTGCTCGAGGAGGTGCACAACTGTGGGTAAATCCATGAAATACTGTGAAACGGCCAGGCTCCGTAAGGAGGGTGTGTGACCACGGGGAGTCAGTGAGCAAGCGCACACCTCCCCTCGCCACATCGCCTAATGCTCACGCGACCACGGACACACCTCAGTGTTACAAAGCCCAACCATTTCCAGCACCATATGAGAAAATTACAACAGTCCCTAAAGTATTTAAAAAAAAATCCCAAAAGGTGATGGCCTTTGCTGTTTGACCATATGCTCGCTGTTTGCATGTACGAGTTGATTTGACTCTCCCTCCCACTGACAGTGAGGTTGTAACCACGCTGGGTTGAGGATGCGTCCGTGTTACAGAGTTGAGAAGGGGTCAGGTGGTCTGTCTGGTGGATGGTGGGACGCTGCGACTTTTATCCCAGGTACCAGGACTGGAAGACAAAAGGAAAAGTGCAATTAGAGGTAGAATTTAGAAAGTAATGTATTTTAGAAATTGCCCTTCCACCCATGCAATCAGGATGGAGGAGGGATTTGCTGGGAAAAGCAAAGGAACGATGAGCAGTAAATCCTGAGACACGGAGACTGATCTGACTCCTCTGAAGCTGGAAGTCAGCGGCGGTGCTGGAGTCTGCGATGTTCTGAGCGTGCCCTGTAAACAAAGCATTCGTGCCCACTTGAAATACACATGCGGGACTGGCCGTTGGGTGGGGCAGCTTTGGGGGGGGCAGGAGGATTGATCGTCTTGTTGCTCGTTGTATCCTCAGTGCCAAGCACAGCACCTGGAACAGAAGCTCTCGACACGGAAGCACTAAGTGGAGGGGACGGGTGCAGGGAGGGCCCCGCGGTGGTGCAGGCTGCTCTGGGGTTTCACAGCGCCTCCTCCCAGTGAGCAGGCGCACTGAGTGGCTGCCATGGCCTTGCAGCAGGCAGAGGATGGACAGTGGCCCCAAGACAGCAGAGGGGAAGGGAAGAAGTGCGGTGCCAGGAGCCTGGTGGCTCAGGTGCGTGGCAGCATCTTTCACTCCAGCTCCCTACCTGTGCCTGAGGCAGATGCTACAACGTAAAATGCTCCTTTCAGGCCAATATTCCTAAAACAGTATTTTCAAAAAATGACACAAAGTAACCGAGTGGTACTGAGATTGCACCCTGTCCACTCCTGTTCTGGGCAGAGGGACGGCACGAGGCTGCTGCCCAGTGCCCCTCCTCTTGTGTGCCTGCGGGGCCTGCTACCAGCTGCCTGCTCCTTCCACGAGTCCTCAGCGGACGAGCTTTGGGCAACACTTTCGATGCCAGGATTCCTCTCTGTGAGCTAAACAGAGTGAGCCACTGTGGTCCAACAGCAGAGTCAGCTCCTCAGGGAAAGAAAAAGTACATGGCTTTTGCCAGCTTTTCTCTAGAGATACCCTGCCAAATTCACCGCATTTATCATTATTCACAGAAAAATCATCAACTTCTAGCAAAAGTGCATGCTTCTGAATTCTCTGAGTTGACAGTCTCAGGAAGGGCTACCTCTGGGTTGCTTCAGTCAGATGAAGGTGCATCTATGTCCAAGAGAATCAAGTCGGTAAAGGAAGGATTGGTCTGATCCAGATCAACAGCGAGACCATGGCTACGTGGGGGTCGGTGCAGAATTTCCTGGTCACACAAGCTACCTTTGATTTCCAGAGGGGCTGAGAAACCTAGCCTAAACCGAGAACCACTCATGCTACACATGCTTTTTAGGTGTCATTCTCTGACCCTATGCTCTGAGGACCACAAGAAAGCTCCTGGGCCTGAAGGACGCCATCCCGGCACATACCCACGCCTCAGCCTCACCGGCCGGGAGGACAGGGTAGGACACTCCAAACGGCACCTGGGGAGGTCTCTCCCCAGAGCAGACCCTGGGCCCCTGTGGAGCCTCGTTCTCCCAGGACAACGGTCTCAGACTTGGGGTACGGCGGATAATGCTTACGATTTCTGTTCTCACCCTTTCTAAGTCAGCCGTGGCATTCCAGACTCCCTCCGTCTGACACTGACACTCCCTAGCCGTTCCTGAAGCTGACACGGGGCCCAGCGCGTCAGCAGGGGGAGCAGTTTTCCGTACCACAGTTTCTGGACACAACTCAGAGCTACAAAAATCTGCAGTGCCTCTGCACTTCTCTTAAGAAGCAAAGCAAAAAAAAGTTTCTTCACACATCTTACTATTCAGCGTGTGCCTTGCCGACAAGGTTACCCCAGAGCAGCTCGGTAATCCTTCACTGAAATAGGCTTTATTGATTGCTCTGGTCTATTGTTCTCCTTTCAAGTCCCCCAAGTTCAAGTTCATCCTGGTGTTACATCATGTCTGGTTGCTAAGAGCAACCAGACAGACCCAGACGTGACTATCATTAGCAAGAAACCCTGCGCTCTCCTCCCACCAGCCTTCCAGCGGCTCTGACGTAGCAGGCCCACTGCAAACACATTGAAGTATTTATTCTGCCTAATTTATGACCTACACAGCAAGCAAGACCCCCACTCCAAAAACCAACACTGTTGTATGTTTAATTAATCTGTCTTTCTCTGGCACTTGGGAAAGTTAGACAAAGGACTAATTATTGTGTTTCACTCTCCACACTTTTCTTTGGGGGGTGAATATTTGCATGGGAAAGAAAACTGCAAGGCCCAGCATCGACAGCGCCCCCCCAGCCCTTTTTTTCTTTTTGCCCTATTGACATTTCATGAAATACTTTAGCTGCTTAAGGGAATTAGAAAAAAAATGCGATGTGAATGTTACTCCTTCTGAGTTGGTATTCAGTAACACAAATCAACTCATGACATGTTTAAATTTAAATGCTAACCACACACTCTCAGAGTTACTTTAAAGGTTAGTTTTTAATCAATAGAAGTTGCTGACTCCGGGTTTTTGAGCTGCACACTGCAGCTCTTGGCTTTTGTCTAACGTTAAAGCTTTCAAACTTTTTTTCCTTGAGATGATTTTAGCAATGATTTGCAGACACAGAAGGCTATTGTGCTCTGACCAGCAACATGTCAATCGAGGTCGAGCTGCCCTGTGGTGGGGTGTCAATGTGACTCCTGAAGGCATGGGTTGGGGGTCTTTAATAACCCATGAAAAAAACTTAATTAACCCTTTCAGGCCCAAACCAAAACCTATTCTTAAACTTTTTCACTCTTATAATTTGACCATTAGTACTTATTTCGACATCACACTAATCTTCATGACAATTAACCCAGCTCCTTGACCAAGGCTCTCCAGAATGAGAAGTCAGTTGGTTAGGGAAGCACACAGTGAATTATTTTTTGAGGGGGATGAGGTCTCTTTCATTAAATCATTTACCTGCAGAGATGGCAGATAAACAGTTATAATAATAAAACAATTTTATCCATTTTTCCTAATTTTCTCATGATCAACTTGTAGCTAAAGATGCTTCTAATTCCATTTTGATGAGAGTGACAGTCACACATGCATAAGCCCCTGATTTCTACAAACTTCCATGAACTACTAACACCACTACATGGATAAGATAATGTTTGGAAAAGCCCATTTTTCTCTTGTGAAATTTTCTTATAAAATCTTCTATGTGAGCAGTGCATAATAGAAAGATTACTTGAAGAATGATTCTGAGCATTTTCTTCTTGGGTCATACAGGAAAAATACAGAAGAAATCTGAGACTGTTAAATTGCTGGTGTTGAGCAGCAAATCAATGGGAAAATGTTGCCATGATAAAATTCATTTAGGAAGGGTCAAAAAACTGTCTTCATTTACTGACATAAGCTTTCCTTTCACATGGTTTCTGCCTTTGCATTTTATAGCCCTTAATCCAACCTCCTGTATCCAGATGGACTACAAAGGAGCCTCTGTCCTTATCTGCAGCGAGCTCCAATACTACACCACCATCCAGGGCGATGCTATCTCGATACATTTACATTAAGGAAGTAAACACAGAGCTTTGATCTGTTTTTTTCTCAGGAAAGCTCAGCTGTGGCTGTCTTGGAGGTCCGTAAATCCCCAGTCCCACAAAGCCTCCAGTTAAGTAAAATCACTCTGTTACAGTCACACTTTCTACAGTTTGGGATGTGCTGGGGGAGGAGGGTATTGTCCTCTCCCAGTGTTCAAGGTGAAACATCAAAAGGGAGTGCAGCCCAGGACCAGAGCTCAGCTCTCCTCTTCTCCAGTCAAAGAAGTAATCTCATCAGGTTGGAAAGTGCTGACTAAGGATTTAATAAAGTGCCTGCAGATGTGGCGTCTCTAAGGTATTCAACTCATGTAATGCAAAACAGCTCCACAGTGAACGTGCTATAAAATTTCATTTAACCATTGCAGGGCGACTTTCTTCCCCTGCGTGCTCTAAGGAGTTTTATCACACTTCCCGCCCCGTAATTTACGGCTCCGTGGAAGTTCTAACTTCATTCTGCCGGGACCCTGGAGTACTCACAGTGGTCAGGTTTTACGACCCACAGACAGCATCTAGCAGGCATCCTAAGCAGGAAGCCCGTGGGGCAGCGGGCACCTGACAGGGTAGGCTCCGCCCCTCCTCTGCCACAGGAGAGCGGTCCGGAAACTGAGGCTGTCTTCCAAAATCTGGTCATGAGCTTGCCGAGACACAGGTGATGACAACTCAACTCCTTGGTTAACAACAAACACCCTAATGAGAATAACGACTTTTTAAAAGGCCTCTGATATACTTGCCTCACTAAGAGGGCAGGATGCACATTTAGAAACAAAAGGAAACACAAGTCTGTCTGAGATAGCTATATTTCACTTCAAGCAAAAAAAGGAGAGGGTGCTGGGGGAGGTGGGGGTGGGGAGGGCGGAACAGACTGTGATGCAGCAGAATCTGTTTTCCAAATTAAAAAGTTAAACAAAGGCCCCAGGGCGAAGTTGAACAGTGCGGAAGGAGGCTGTTGATGTGGAGTCCAGAACCGGGTGTGGCGCTTTGCTTTCTTCTCCAGGCAAGGCGGGTTATCTAAGGACACTCACACACAAAACAGAAACACGCAAATCAGGGGACCTGGGCCCCACACCCGCAGACCTGACTCTCCATCGGCCCCAAAAGAAGATGCTGCCCACCAACATGTCCTGAGCTGCCATCACCATTCTCATTTCCCTCTAGAGGAGATGCTATCTCCACTGGGTCACACTAATCCAGTCATTTCTGGCTTCCTGCTCTTGTTTGGATGAGCTATCAGCCCAAATGAGTTGTCCTTGGCAAATCAGCCAAAGCCTGGTCATCTCCTCCGTCCCTTTCCAATACAGTGGAAGTGGACAGGGCCTCTGAGTGGACACGCCTAGGTTCTCATGTTGGAATACCCCATTTGGAGCATTTCTTCACTCATTCAGCAAGTAGGAGGAGACTGCTGTGTGCTTGGCGCTCTGGATGCTGAGCTCTGGGGACACAATGAGCACAATCAACACAGTACCTGCTCTCAAGGAGTCATCATGCAGAAAGACGGCACTGGGTTTTAGACTTCTGTACCTTTCAGGATTCCTCACGGTAAGAGCTTTATGAACTTATGTCAACTCATCAGGCGGAGTGTCCAGTGTCCGAGGACCCAGGATTGAGTCCTACTTTTCCACTGAATAGTTGGGCAACTTCAATAAGCGGTCTCTGTCCTCGGGCCCCCAGAGGACTGGCGAGGACCATTCTGCATCACACGAGAGGAGAACAGTTTTCACCCTGGTTTCTTCTGAAAAAGGTGACATTCTGTACACAGGAGTCAGTTATTGGTACTGCCAGCCAGAGGCTTTGATCTCCACAGTCATTTTTCCTGCCTGATTTTGTTAATTAAAGAAAGCCTGTTTTCAATAACACTAAACCAAAGCTTGTTCATTGCGCAGGAAACTATTAAAACGCTAATGGGCCGAGATTGGCCCTGCTTACCTTTGTGGCCTTATCTTTTCACCGCTTGTGCTCAACACTTGTGCTGTGTTAAACTTCTTCCAGATCCCCCAAAGCCAAGCGCTCTCCCCCGCTGGGCCTTGGCACGGGCTGCAGCTCCTGCTTGGTCTGGCTAACACCCGCTAGTCCTTGCCTTCTCAGATGGCAGTCCCGTCTTGCTCAGGGTCTTTCTCCAGGCCTTCAGTCTGGGGTTGAGCTCTGTCACGGTCACTGAACTGCAGCTACCCGTGTGCTCCCTGAGAACACTGACGTTCTTCTTGCAGGTGGCATCCCCAGTGTCTCGCCCTGTGGTGGGCACAGAGCAGGCCCTACGAAACACTGTTGAGGAAGGAAGGAGGGAACGAGCTGTTTCCAAGGTTCCCAAAGCCTGAGGTCGGCTCCCCAGCAAGGCTCTCACACAGATGAGTCCTAGCACGGCTGTGCCACATCCACGCTCCCGCCACACATCCACGTCCCCCAGATGACAGGCCCTCTCCCGAGGGACACAGGTCTCACGAGCTGCCTGGGCCTTTCTGACTGAAGAGCTGTTGCCAGTGGCCTTGGTAGCATGTGCAAAGTTTGTACCGTGGACTGCTGCCTGCTCACTACAAGCCCAGAGCAGTCGTCCAAACCACTGCTCCCTGGAGAGGGCCCATGCTGCTCGCAGCCAGACCTCCATTTGTTTCAAACCTCAAGATGGGAAAACACTCATCTTTTTACCCAATAAGCCAGCCAGCACCTCCAAACCTTGAGAGCACATACACAAGCCAATTATTCCGACTGTTGTTCCGAAGTCTGAGTCTTTCACCAGATTCCAATCTGCCCTAGTCTCTGCCTCACCTTCAAATACCTTTTTTTGGGTCTCCCTTTACATTTTCATCCAGTAATCTTTTACCTAGGAAAGCAAAGACTTCTGAGTTGGAAACTGCGCTCTGGCTCACTCGCCTCTGCCCTGCAGACCTCCTGGGGGGCTGTGCACAGTGGTGGAGGCGGGAATCCAGTTCACAGAACCCCATCACTAAAGCCGCACACCATGACGGACGAGTGAAATGACCTTAGGCAGGTCGGCTAGCACCTGGGTCTGAGTTTTAGTCTCCGTAAAATGGAGATCACTTTATCAGTCTTTGTGGGGATTAAACGAGCAGAGAGAGGCAAGTGCAGAGAACCAGAACGCCAGGTGGAGGTCCTCTGACTGAACGGTGGCGCCTAAAGGCCCACGTGAGAACTGAGGGGACCAGCTCCCTCGGAAAGGAATGGCTCAACAGGCGGCTTCTCTTCTTGAATGACAGAATTTCTCACTTAAAAGTAGCAGCTGTGTCAGCTCCATTCCCCAGTTGCAAGAGAAAGTTCTTGAGAAAATAAAAATCTGTCTTTAATTGCAGTATTAAAATCAGAGTGCGAAACCAGCAACACAAAAGGAACTGGCTCAAGTTTGTGAGCGGCATTTGGCCCTGGACTTGGAGGCTAAAATGCAGCCTCAGAAGGGGGGTGAGGGTCGGGCAACCAAGTGGGACAGAAACAATCCTATTTCGGTTTTTGTTAGCGAATGGCATACTACACAGATCAGAGACTTCTTATAAAATAGAAACCCCCACTGTACACAAAGCACAGGAAAATGTGAGGAAAAAAGGGAAAAACTAAAAGCAGCTTAGGGTGTGTTAACGCTGCTATTCTGTCAGCTTAAAGAGTATTTTATGCTTGATCAACAGCTCTTTTTTATTGTGCTTTCCTTTCTTTCATTCAGGACTTCAAAGGCAGCCCCACCAGCCTACCTGCCCTTCTGGAGCCGCCTGCGAGGGCCCTAATGAAGCTGGGCTCTGGGAGCCAGAGACCCCCGTGGACACGGCAGTTCAAAGGGAATATTTCAACAATGATTACATTTTGTAAATCTTTTTATGAAAGAGACAGCTTATTTCCTGCTTTTTCATGAAAAATAGATTCTACCCATTAAAGTGAGCCCGCGCCACGGACACTGCTGGAGCTCCAAGGTGCAGCACGGGATGAAGGGGCAACAGCCGATGAAATTGCCCCGAGTCCCCATCTCCTTAACCATGATGGCGCCACCAGAATCTCTGGGTGGAGCCCAGATAGAGCGCTGGACGCTCCACTGTGGGAAATGCAGTGGACGGTGCTCTGCCGTTCATTTTGTATTGGGTCTTGTATTTATTATTTGTTCTTTTGTAGTTTTCGATTCTACAAAGTCCAACCAAATATCAGAAGGCATCAGGCAACCCCTTTTATTGCAAAAGAAAGAGAAAGATTTTAGCTACAGGTTCATTAAATGTTGTATTTTAACACCCTGATACAGGACAAACCTTTTTCCATATGGCAGTTAGCCATAAAAAAGCCGGCTCTGGTCTGAAGATACAATACAGGCTTTCTTACTGGCCTGCCCTGGGGGCAAAGACAAGGATGGCAGCCCAGCCCTTTGTAATCTTTGATTCAACATTAAAATAATCTTTCTCCTAGTGTTTCCTTCTTTTATTTTTGGTGGCCGGGAGAGTTGGGGAGAGCAGTGAAGGAAGAGAATATGGTTTCCTGGGGAGCTATGAAATGAGAAAAATGTATGTTTTCTACCCATCAGACTCCGATTTTAATTAAGTGCCTGTTGTCTAACAAGTGCAGACAGTGGCACGTGGGGCTGGCCCGGTGGTGGCCCAGGAGGTAAACTTCTTGTCTGAAGGCGAGGCTGGGGCTGTGGCTTGGAGCTCAGCAGAGCGTGGCCACATTACAATGGTCATTCTGCCAGGCTCCCTCCCGGCTCCCCCAGGTGAAGGCTCTTCCCAACAGGACTCAGGTTTGCAGCATTTCTATCACCGAGAGTTCACGTTCAACTGTGCAGGTGGATGGAGTCTAGCAAGGGGAAAACCGACACTAAAGTGAAAAGCCGTTATTCCCAAAATTCTCCCAGAGACATCCTGCCATTGAATGACAGAGGATCTGGTACTCTGCCAGAGACCAGTTCCCAAACTCTCCTTTCAGCCAAGGAGCCCTCAGCACTGGATGGCATCTGCCGCCTTAGGATGTTCCCACCCCAGCTGGCGGGGCCCTGATCACAGGTCCTGGCTTCTCATCCCTCAATCCTCCTCTGTTCAGCATCCCGCATCCTTCCTCCTGTCATCTTCAGTCGCACTTCCTGCCTCTGCTCACCCCTCAAGCCAGTCCTCTCCTGTCCCCACCTGCGTTTGAGCCCCTGTAGGAACTCGGGCAGAGCCTCCTCTCTCAAAGGCTACACAAACCAGCAGTCCTCCCTCCTCCATTCACTGGGATTAGGAGAGGAAGTGAGAAGAAGCACTCAGCTGCAACCAAAGGCCGGATCCATGGCTGGAAGATGGCTCCCTCGCCAGCCGATGGACCGAGGCCTGCAGGATGACGTGGACAGAATGTAGAGGAAGCCATAGCATCTCAGTCCTCAGATCCATGAGGAGAACGAGTGAGACGGAACACAGCACAGTGTGAGTCAGCGACCCTGGTTTCAGTCCCAGCCTGAGCACCAGCAGTGGGGGCCCCAGGCACCCCACGAGGCCGTGCTGAGCACATTACAGAGCCTCCACTCCTGTGCCTTCTTCCCGGCCGGCTCCCACAGTCGCTGATTCCAGGAGGCGTCTCTCCCTCATTCACAGTGTAGACGTGCTCTTGGCAGGTCAAACTCGTCACAGCCTTCACCGAGGCCAGTGTAGGCTTGACCATGGAAAAAGTCAGAGACCTAAGTTCCAGCCTGTGGCTTCAGGGATCCAACTTCGCTTATCTGCAGCACGGCCTCAGCACATCAGTTATCACAGCATTTGGGGAGCAAATAACAAATTCAACAAGACAAAAATGACTTTGAAATACTAGCCCGACATGTAAGCAGCATTGTACTGGCTGCACTGATGGGATCTAGACAGCATGATCAGATCAGGGCTTCATCCGAGCCAATGACCTGGACAAAAATGGATGATTTCCCCAGGCCCCGCCAAAGCTCTATGTGACACCCCAAAAGGGCAAACCAGGGATCCTGAACAATGCTTTCCTCCTCCTTCTGAAAACAGGGTAGGATTTAGGGTTTTACGGCAACAAAACTTGTCTTTGTTAAGACGTGACTTGCAAAACAAACCCACATGAGGGAGTTGGCGGTTTCAAATGACGGTACTTTTTTTTAAATGCTGAAACAGCAAACGCTTTTTATGTTCAGATTTATTTCCTTCTAAATTTGTAGATGAAATTTACAACTAAGCAATATTCATTACTATAAACAATTAGATTCTTCCTGAACACTTTCAGGGAAGTGAGTAGGACCCCCCCTGGTGGGGCAGGGGTGAGGAGCTGTGTGAAGGTGACGGTCCCACAGCGTCAACAGTCTGAGTGCAGGGTCTTACCACGATCTGGATGCGTACAGCGTGCACGTGGTCAACAGAGTTATCTGGCTTCCCTGTTGGGAATCCATGCTTCTTGGAGAGAGGTAACATCATTCTAACGCAAGAAAATTCAATCCATTTCTATCATTTTAGTAATGACTTTAGAGACAGTGGAAATATCATATGCAAAGATTGCTAAAGACAGATTTAAGGATGTTTTCTATAAAAACAAGCATGCAAACAAAATCATTTACTTTGCTTTCAGGTAGATTCTACTTGGTGGTGCTCTCCCAGTAACTGAGTTAGGAACAGACTCAGCACTCATTCACACAGTGAGAATCTGGAATAGCTACACTCCTCTACTATTGCTTTATTTTAATGAAACCAATTACAGATTGGATGATAATTCTATGTTCACTGGCTCCTTAAATACCCTTTTCTCTTGTTAAATCACCATAGATTCTAGCGTTCATTTGCAAGAATGGCGGAAGTTCAAATGACACATATTAACTTTCCATCTGATTCTGCAATCACCAAAATCTTGCAGCTGTGCCACCTTGTGCTACCTTAGAAGATGGTTCAGTGAAAAAATACTTGAAGATTTCTCCTTCTTTCAAAGAAGTAAATTGTTTGAGCTAAAATATGGCTTCTTGTTCTACTGCATCAGTCCTTCTGCGGTGTTCTTCAGGAACATGTTTACGAGTTCAAATTCAGGTTTAAACAAGATAAAACACTGCTCAGGAGTCTATAACTCAGCCTCATTTACATGGGCTCCTTCTGAACTCTGCCGGCTGTGGTGTGCGAGTTTCCAAGGCATGGCGGAGGAATGCTTTCCAGCTGGAACCTACACAGCTTTCTTAGGCAGTGCAGATGCAGAGTAGGCAGCACCCAAGTGTGGTTGGTATTGAAAGTTTCCTCAAAGCTACTATAAAGTCAAAGAAAGAGAAAAAGAAAAACAGGGCGGGGGCCAAGAGAGCTGCATCTTCTTAATTTTCCCTGTAA